GAATTGAACAAGAACAGAGCACATTAATATTAGGTATATATTTGAATGGGGAATATCATACCAAACAAATCACGGGCATACATGACCATGTTAGCACATAGGAAAGGGGAGAAAGCCGTCTCTTCCCTCCTGGGTGACAAAGGTACGCTGAGTTTGGTATCCCTGGGTTCGAACTATAATTCTGAATATTAATCTGCCAGTTGCTTGAAGACCACCTGAACATAGTGGAAGTTATTAATATTAGTGTAAAACTGTATTTGGGAATAGGTCGTAAATTTCGAAACCTCCTAGCACCCATCCTGTAAACCAGATTATTGGTCAGTTGGTCTCTGTCCACACCCTCTTGATATCATAGAAAAGGACTGAGAGGACTTGTTAAGATTGAGCTCTCGTTCAACATGAACAAAGTAACATCTTAAAGGATTGAGAGCCAAGGCAAAGTTTTTGCTTGGACAATTGGACTCTGCTAAAACCAGGCCTTTGCAAGTATTTTGCTTTCTTAACGCCTTTATTTCTCTGTTGCATTATTGTTTTATTTCTTTGTAACATCCCTTTCTGTAAATATTTTAACTGCACCATTTTGAACTTTTTAGTAATACATCCAGTTTTAAAAGTGTTGAAACTATCTCTAAAGCTTTTAATGCAAACTAAAGAATCCATCTCTTGAAGAGTGCTACTGTATATCATAATCCTCTGATTGTGCTTGCCTGTGGTGACAGTGTGTGTTAGACGTTTATTGTTCACGTTTGTTAACATTGTGAAGGGTTGATAGGCCCAAAGCTATCTGGTGGCAGTTTGGAGTTTGAAGGGTTAAAAGTGCATAATTAACTTAACCCAGTGATAATCACTCTCAGGCTGCTGACACATAGCTTGTTGTCCCGTGAGCTGGAAAATCTCTGTGCAGGGTGCAGTTGAGCGTGGCATTCTGATGCAAGTGTCAGCACGGTTTTGAGATTGGCTGGTCCTTTCTCACAAGTTGGTGAGAATGGCAGGGGTTGGGCACCGTGTTCGTCACATATTGGCTGGCAGTGTGCTGTGGGATAGTTCTCCATTAGAGCATTCAGTGCAGCATTAGGAATTGGCTCTGCACTGAAGAATTGTAACCTTTGTAGAAACAGTCTTTAGAGACAAACGGTGCATATATATATATATATATTTTTTTTAAAGAGACATACAGCAACAACTCCTTCCTATCTTTTCTTTTTGCAAAAATGCCTGGTTTAGCTAAATATAAAGAAATTACCAAAAATGATTTATGTGCTGAGTGAAGGAATTGACATCGGTGACAAGAATCGTGAAAGTTTGATTCATGCCCTACAGAAGTATGATATCCGGGAAGACCAGAACTTGGGGGAATCTGAAACTGAAGGGATTGCCACTATCTCAGGGTGCAGCTGAGAGTGGCATTGTTACACAAGTGACAGCATGGTGTGAGATTGGCTGGTCCTTTGTCACGAGTTGGTGAGAAGGGCAGGGGTCGGGCACCACGTTCATCACACCACCCAGGGAGGGTCCCTACTAAAAGGGGCACTAATCCCGACTTACAAGCACGTCCACATGTAAATGCAAGAAAACATTGGGTGTTCCTGCCCACCTCAATGTAAATTCTGATGAAATGCGTTGGGTGAAGCATATGATCTGATGTTATTGCACATGCATGCTGAGCAGTGTGGCTATTTCGTATTGTGCCTATTATTACCTTTGTATCATTTTATATCAATACACCCAGAGTGTTTTTACAGTATTATGCTATGTGGAATCTCTTTGTTTTTAATATGGCCGCTTTATAATACTGATGTTGTGGAGTCCATCAGTTGAATGAAGGAGTATGCTGGAGGGGCATATTGCCATATATCTGGATCCATTGACCTTGGGAAGTGTGTTTGACCTCCTGTAACTAAGGTGGTGGCACAGGCTGAAGGTTTTTTATTTTCATGCATTCTATGCATTAAGGTAAAAAAAACCTTCTGTGCGCTGCTACCCCCACAGCCCCCCCAATACTCACCTGAGCCTCCTCTCGATCCAGTGATGTGCACAAGAGCCTTGGCTGTTCCGGGTCTTTCTCCTCATTGGCTGAGGCACAGCAGCAAGAGCCATTGGTTCCCACTGCTGTCAATCACAGCCAGTGAGCCAATGAGGAGAGAAGGGGGTGGGGCCAAGACAGGGCTCTATAAGTCTTATGGATGCAAAGAGCAGGGCTTGGGAGCACACGCACCAGTGCCCTCATAGCAAGTGGCTTGCTATTGGGTGCACTGGTCAAGAGGGAGAAGCCAGGAGCACTGGCCGAGAAGGCAAGAGGAGGATCGGGGCTGCTATGATGCAGCAAGATAGTTCATTTTGCTGAAATTTCATTGAAGCAACTCAAAATGGTACTCAGTAGTTTGTATGGGCCCCATGTGCTTGCATGCATGCCTGACAACGTAATGAGAAGACGGATGGTGTCCTGGGGTATTTCCTCCCAAATCTGGACTTGAGCATCACTGAGCTCCTGGACAGACGGAGGTGCAACTTGGCGTCGTCGGATAGACCGAAACATGATATCCCAGAGGTGTTCTATTGGATTTAGGTCAGGCAAGCATGGAGGCCATTCAATGGTATCAATTCCTTCATCCTCCAGGAACTGCCTCCATACTCTCACCACGAGGCTGGGCATTGTCGTGCACCAAGAGGAACCCAGGACCCACTGCACCAGCATAGGGTCTGACAATGGGTCCAAGGATTTCATCCCGATACCTAATGGCAGTCAGGGTGCCATTGTCTAGCCTGTAGAGGTCTGTGCATCCCTCCATGGATATACCTCCCCAGACTATCACTTACCCACCACCAAAATGGTCATTCTGAACGATGTTACAGGCAGCATTACGTTCTCCACGGCTTCTCCAGACCCTTTCATGTCTGTCACATGTGCTCAGGGTAAACCTGCTCTCGTCTGTGAAATGCACAGGGCGTCAATGGCGGACCTCCCAATTCTGGTGTTCAATGGCAAATGCCAACTGAGCTCTATGGTGCCGAGCAGTGAGCACAGGGCCCACTAGAGGATGTCGCTCTCAGGCCACCCTCATGAAGTTTGTTTCTGATTGTTTGGTCAGAGACATTCACACCAGTGGCCTGCTGGAGGTCATTTTGTAGGGCTCTGACAGTGCTCCTCCTGTTTCTCCTTGCACAAAGGAGCAGATACCGGTCCAGCCGATGGGTTAAGGACCTTCTACGGCCTTGTCCAGCTCTCCTACAGTAACTGTCTGTCTCCTGGAATCTCCTCCATGCTTTTGAGACTGTGCTGGAAGACAAAGCAAACCTTCTGACAATGACGCGTATTGATGCACCATCCTGGAGGACTTGGACTGTCTGCGCAACCTCTGTAGTATCCAGGTATCACCTAGTGACACTGACCCTGGCTAAATGCAAAACTAGTGAAAAACAGTCAGAAAAGACGAGTAGGGAAACAAATGTCAGAGGCCTCCACCTGTAAAACCATTCCTGTTTTCAGGGTTGTCTCATTGCTGCCCATCTAGTGCACCTGTTGTTAATTTCATACACCAAAGCAGCTGAAACTGATTAACAACCCCTTCTGCTACTTAACTAACCAGATCAATATCCCAGGAGTTTCATTGACTTGATGCTTTTGAGCAGTAGGCCTATTTATGTTGGAGGAGAGCATCACCAGCTGCATTGCACATACCTGAAATGGACTTTTCTCACTCTTGCTTTCCCCATTTATGGATGTTTACAAAATTATTTAATTTTGCACTTGTCACTTTTTTTGCACTTGTTTTGATTTGCGTGATGAATACAAAGTATTGATGACTGTTGTAAAGTGACAAAGCAACACCTGTTCTATATGTAAGAAAGCATCATTTACCTATATAGGCTGGGTTCACAGCTGAGCGTAGCTTGAACCCGCGTTCCTGCTTGGATTTCTTCATGTTTTGGAGCGTTTCCACTAGTCACACTTTTTTGCAGAAGAGCATGGCATGTTTTTTTCCCTGCTCATTCTGCCTGCTACCTGTGATTGGGGTGTCATTACCAATTAGGGCTACTTCACACTACATGCGTTTTAGTTGCTTTTTTTCTGCATCCAAAACACACAGAAAGTAGGTGATATGGTTGTCAATGTCATAATTCACATTAGTACTTCCAGTACGTTCCGGCTGCAGAACAAAAAGTAGAAAAGTTTGTATTTTCCTGCACAGAACTGTACAGGAACACGGTTAAACATATCAAAACGCACATGACCCTATTTAAATTGAAAAAGAGGAGAAAAATTAACTGGAACACGCAGGGGCGGACTGACCATTTGGAAACTCGAGCACTGCCCGAGGGCCGGGGTCAGTAGGGGGCTCCATGAGATGCCCCTGGTACCTTTTTCATAGGGTTTTTTAGGTTTGGGCAAGGACACAGGGGCCCCATGATCCCCTATTGCCCGGGGGTGCCATGAGTTGTCAGTCCACCCCTGGGAACATGTCAAAAACACGCATGCAGAAGCGTATCTGGAATGCAGAGCTCACCTGGACCGCGTTTCCATGTGAACCAGCCCTAAATGGCAGTTCAAGTGTGACACGCGTCTTCTATGCGCTTTGTTGTGCGTTCTGGAAATGGCAAATGTGCATGGAATCTTTGTCCGTGTGCATGAGGCCCCTACACAACCCATAATAACATTCTATGTACAGTGCACTGCAATGGACCGCCCTGGTACCAATGGGCCCCTCGCCCGGATGCAGCCAGCAGGCCTATGTAATTCCCGGCTACCAATAGAGGATGTACAGTATGGGAGGTATTCTGTGCAAAGTCCAGGCGCATACAGTAAACACGGCTCGGTGTCCGAAGCCCAACTAGTAGGCTACGTTTCCATCCGGGGATTCCAGTTGAATACAGTGCCTGGCTGCGCTTGGGTTCCCCGCCCATCGGTGAGCCGAGCCCGGCCGCGGAAGTGTAGTGGCAGACGTGGCGGCGCGCGGTTTGTGCTGGTGCCGGGCCCGGGGTGTGATGAGGAGACGCTGTGTCCTGCCTCCCGCAGGCTCGGGCCGCCCCTCGGCTCTATAAGCGGAATGCAGAGGCCGGGAAGGCTGCACGTTAAGCGGCTGCTGGACCTGATGGGCCGGAGGCCTGAGCTGCTGTGCGGGGCTATAGCGCTGAGCTGCGCTCTCATCGTGGCGCTCAGGTTCACCTGCAGGTAACCCCGGCCACCTCCACCCTATGGATATCTATATGTATACACTGTGCTGGGGGGCTCTACCTGGGGCCACCTTCAGCCTGTGGATATCTATATGTATACACTGTGCTGGGGGGGCTCTACCTGGGGCCACCTCCACCCTGTGGATATCTATATGTATACACTGTGCTGGGGGGGGGGCTCTACCTGGGGCCACCTCCACCCTGTGGATATCTATATGTATACACTGTGCTGGGGGGGCTCTACCTGGGGCCACCTCCACCCTGTGGATATCTATATGTATACACTGTGCTGGGGGGGCTCTACCTGGGGCCACCTCCACCCTGTGGATATCTATATGTATACACTGTGCTGGGGGGCTCTACCTGGTGCCACCTCCAGCCTATGTATATTCTATATGATATACCTGTGGATATCTATATGTATACACTGTGCTGGGGGGGGGGCTCTACCTGGGGCCACCTCCACCCTGTGGATATCTATATGTATACACTGTGCAGGGGGGGCTCTACCTGGGGTCACCTCCACCCTGTGGATATCTATATGTATACACTGTGCTGGGGGGGCTGTACCTGGTGCCACCTCCACCCTGTGGATATCTATATGTATACACTGTGCTGGGGGGACCTCTACCTGGGGACACCTCCAGCCTATGTATATCTATATGTATACACGTCACCTCCTCTGTATACACTGTGCTGGGGGGGGGGCTCTACCTGGGGCCACCTCCACCCTGTGGATATCTATATGTATACACTGTGCTGGGGGGGGGCTCTACCTGGGGCCACCTCCACCCTGTGGATATCTATATGTATACACTGTGCAGGGGGGGGGCTCTACCTGGGCCACCTCCACCCTGTGGATATCTATATGTATACACTGTGCAGGGGGGGGCTCTACCTGGGGCCACCTCCACCCTGTGGATATCTATATGTATACACTGTGCTGGGGGGCTCTACCTGGTGCCACCTCCACCCTGTGGATATCTATATGTATACACTGTGCTGGGGGGCTCTACCTGGTGCCACCTCCACCCTGTGGATATCTATATGTATACACTGTGCTGGGTGGGCTGCACCTGGTGCCACCTCCACCCTATGGATATCTATATGTATACACTGTGCAGGGGGGGGGGGGGGGGCCTCTACCTGGGGCAACCTCCAGCCTATGTATATCTATATGTATACACGTCACCTCCTCTGTATACACTGTGCTGGGGGGGGGCTCTACCTGGGGCCACCTTCCCTATGAATATCTATATGTATACACCTCACCTCCTCTGTATACACTGTGCTGGGGGGCACTACCTGGGGCCACCTCCACCCTATGGATATCTATATGTATACACCTCACCTCCTCTGTATACACTGTGCTGGGGTGCTGCTACCTGTGGGGGCCACCTCCACCCTATGGATATCTATAGTATACACCTCACCTCTCTGTATACACTGTGCTGGGGGGCTCTACCTGGGGCCACCTCCACCCTATGGATATCTATATGTATACAAGTCACCTCCTCTGTATACACTGTGCTGGGGGGGCTACCTGGGGCCACCTCCACCCTATGGATATCTATATGTATACACCCCACCTCCTCTGTATATACTGTGCTGGGGGGGCTCTAAATGGGGCCACCTCCACCCTATGGATATCTATATGTATACAAGTCACCTCCTCTGTATACACTGTGCTGGGGGGCGCTACCTGGGGCCACCTCCACCCTATGGATATCTGTATGTATACACCCCACCTCCTCTGTATATACTGTGCTGGGGGGGCTCTACCTGGGGCCACCTCCACCCTATGGATATCTATATGTATACACCTCACCTCCTCTGTATATACTGTGCTGGGGGGGGCTCTACCTGGGGCCACCTCCACCCTATGGATATCTATATGTATACACCAAACCTCTTCTGTATACACTGTGCTGGGGGGCTCTACCTGGGGCCACCTGCACCCTATGGATATCTATATGTATACACCTCACCTCCTCTGTATACACTGTGCTAGGGGGGGGCTCTACCTGGGGCCACCTCCACCCTATGGATATCTATATCTATACATCTCACCTTCTCTGTATACACTGTGCTGGGGGGCTCTACCTGGGGCCACCACCACCCTATGGATAGCTATATGTATACACGTCACGTCACCTCCACTGTACACACTTGCTGGGGGGCTCTACCTGGGGCCACCTCCACCCTATGGATATCTATATGTATGTGTGTATCCATCTCACCACCCTACATTTTTGTAGATATTTTTAAATCTTTGCATGTGACAACACTGAGGAAATGACACTTTGCTACAACGTAAAGTAGTGAGTGTACAGCTTGTATAACAGTGTAAATTTGCTGTCCTCTCAAAATAACTCAACACACAGCCATTAATGTCTAAACCGCTGGCAACAAAACTGAGTACACCCCGAAATGAAAATGTCCAAATTGGGCCCAATTAGTCATTTTCCCTCCCCGGTGTCATGTGACTCATTAGTGTTAAAAAGTCTCAGGTGTGAATGGGGAGCAGTTGTGTTAAATTTGGTGTTATCGCTCTCACTGTCTCATACTGGTCACTGAAAGTTCAACATGGCACCTCATGGCAAAGAAAGGATCTGAAAAAAAGAATTGTTGCTCTACATGAAGATAGCCTAGGCTATGAGAAGATTATCAAGACCCTAAACTAAGCTGCAGCATGGTGGCCAAGACCATACAGCGGTTTAACAGGAGAGGTTGCACTCAGAACTGGCCTCGCCATGGTCGACCAAAGAAGTTGAGTGCATGTGCTCAGCGTCATATCCAGAGGTTGTCTTTGGGAAATAGACATATGAGTGCTCCCAGCATTGCTGCAGAGGTTGAAGGAGTGCATCAAATTGGTCTGCATGGCTGTCGTCCCAGAAGGAAGCCTCTTCTAAAGATGATGCACAAGAAAGCCCACAAACAGTTTGCTGAAGACAAGCAGACTAAGGACATGGATTACTGGAACCATGTCCTGTGGTCTGAGACCAAGATAAACTTATTTGGTTCAGATGGTGTCAAGCGTGTGTGGCGGCAACCGGGTTAGGAGTACAAAGACAAGTGGGTCTTGCCTACAGTCAAGCATGGTGGTGGGAGTGTCATGGTCTGGGGTTGCATGAGTGCTGCCGACACTGGAGAGCTACAGTTCATTGAGGGAACCATGAATGCCAACATGTACTGTGACATACTGAAGCAGAGCATGATCCCCTCCCTTTGGAGACTGGGCCACAGGGCAGTATTCCAACATAAGGACCCCAAACACACCTCCAAGACGACCACTGCTTTGCTAAAGAAGCTGAGGATAAAGGTGATGGACTGGCCAAGCATGTCTCCAGACCTAAAGACTATTGAGCATCTGTGGGTCATCCTCAAACAGAAGGTGGAGGAACACAAGGTCTCTAACATCCACCAGCTCCGTGATGTCGTCATGGAGGAGTGGAAGAGGACTCCGGTGGCATCCTGTGAAGCTCTGGTGAACTCCATGCCCAAGAGGGTTAAGGCAGTGCTGGAAAATAATGGTGGCCACACAAAATATTGACACTTTGGGCCCAATTTGGACATTTTCACTTAGGGGTGTACTCACTTTTGTTGCCAGCAATTTAGATATTAATGGCTGTGTGTTGAGTTATTTTGAGGGGACAGCAAATTTACACTGTTATACGAGCTGAACACTCACTACTTTACATTGTAGCAAAGTGTCATTTCTTCAGTGTTGTCACTTGAAAAGATATACTATATTTACAAAAAGGGGTGTACTCAGTTCTGTGAGATACTGTATGTATATGTATGTATACATCTCACCCTCCTCTACAGGTGAAACTGGAAAAATTAGAATATCGTGCAAAAGTTCATTTATTTCAGTAATGCAACTTAAAAGGTGAAACTAATATATGAGATAGACTCATTAAATGCAGAGCAAGATAGTTCAAGCCGTGATTTGTCATAATTGTGGTGATTATGGCTTACAGCTCATGAAATCCCCAAATCCACAATCTCAGAAAATTAGAATATTACATGCAATCAATAAAACAAGGATTGTACATAGAACAATATCAGACCTCTGAAAAGTATAAGCATGCATATGTATTCAGTACTTGGTTTGGGCTCCTTTTGCAGAAATTACTGCCGCAATGCGGCGTGGCATGGAAGCTATCAGCCTGTGGCACTGCTGAGGTGTTATGGAAGACCAGCATGCTTCAATAGCGGCTTTCAGCTCTTCTGCATTGTTCAGTCTCATGTCTCTCATCTTTCTCTTGGCAATGCCCCATAGATTCTCTATGGGGTTCAGGTTAGGCGAGTTTGCTGGCCAATCAAGCACAGTAATCCCACGGTCATTGAACCAGGTTTTGGTGCTTTTGGCAGTGTGGGCAGGTTCCAAGTCCTGCTGGAAAATTAAGTCAGCATCCCCATAAAGCTCGTCTGCGGAAGGAAGCATGAAGTGCTCCAAAATCTCCTGGTAGACGGCTGCCTTGACCCTGGACTTAATGAAGCACAGTGGACCAACACCAGCAGATGACATGGCTCCCCAAATCAACACAGACTGTGGAAACTTCACACTGGACTTCAAGCATCTTGCAGTGTGTGCCTCTCCATTCTTCCTCCATACTCTGGGTCCTTGGTTGCCAAACGAGATGCAAAAGTTGCTCTCATCAGAAAAGAGGACTTTGGACCACTGAGCAACAGACCAGGTCTGTTTTTCTTTAGTCCAAGTAAGACGCTTCTGACGTTGTTTGTTGTTCAGGAGCGGCTTGACGAGGAATACGGCATTTGATGTCCATGTCCAGGATCCGTCTGTGTGTGGTGGCTCTTGATGCACTGACTCCAGCCTCAGTCCACTCCTTGTGAAAGTCCCCAACACTTTTGAATGGCCTTTTCCTGACAATCCTCTCCAGGCTGCGGTCATCCCTGCTGCTTGTGCACCTTTTTCTTCCACGCTTTTCCCTTCCACATAACTTTCTATTAATGTGTCTTGATACAGCACTT